GCAATCTTTCTATTCTGACTGTAATAATTCACACTAAGATCTTGACAAGACATTTAAAAAGGGAACATTATTACAACTGTTATATAAATACTCATATACCATGACTTTTTAAGTATTTAGCAAATAATTTACTTTAAAAGTCATATAAATTACAAATATCTAAGCTATATTCGGTACTTTTTGGGATTAAAGACGTGAAATGAGTTGAAGCTCAAAGCAGATGACTTGGATTTGACTTGGATTTATAGGCCAGTGACTCCAGACTCGACTTGAACTTGCCTGTATTTGACTGGGAGTTGAGGTCAAAGACTTGAGACTTACTTGAGACTTGTAAAACAACAACTTGGTCCCACCTCTGGCGCTCAGCATTGGTTATCGATACTTTGCAGTGACATCACGCTGGGGGTGTTCTACATGTATCTCTAATGGTGGACTTAACACACTGCACACTGTCAAAAAGTTTTAAGATTGTCTGAAAAAATACAAAATGGATTTAAACCACGCATTTTAGTTGCTGTGATCAATTCAATTCAATCATTCATGGACCTGTTTATGAGTTTGATTTTCAACAAAAAGGTGAAAAACTGAAAAATACTAATGCTTGCTATTTTGTGACAGGGACTTGTTTAAACAGCACAAATCATCTCACCTGTTGTAGTTCCACATAAGTCGTTTCTTTTTGGTCAGATTGTGTTCAAATAAAACACAGACTAAAGCCTAATAAAGCCTCAGACAGAGCAGTGCCTACAGTTAGCATCACATCACACCTCCATCAGCTGCAAAGTAAATTATAACTTGACCCTGAGCATTTCATCATCTGTATGCTGTGGGCTTTTGGGTTTAGGGGTTGATCAAACTTCCAGACAGAAAAACCACCAGATGCACTGACAGATGGACTCAGTCTGGGCACAGCCTTTCGGAGCCTTGATTTCGTTTGTTCAACTCTCAAATCTTCAAATCTTTGGCTCACGGCTCTGTTTGTGTGGTCAGTTCAGACATTATGATGAGCTCCCAGCCTCTCCGTACTCCCTGCTCTGTGTTCAACTAATCAGGACTTTAGTTAATTAACCACAGCACACACAGGAGGACCACTCCACCTCAGGACAGGGCCCATTTGGATCAAGAACGGTCACAAAGCAATTGAGTAGAGAACTGTCTGCTGTATTTAAAGGTCCTATATTACGGAAAATGGACTCTTGTGAGCTTTAAGTCATGTTGTAGTGTTATTAACTCATCAAAATCATACCTGGAGTTGTGTTTTGTTTCATTCACACATGTTGAGTAATCCTTCCTTCCTGTCTACATCTCCAAAGCTCAAAATGTTCTGTTCCACATTGTGATGTCATGAAGTGGTAGTTTTCAAGTTAACAGCTACCTTTTACCTTTAGTTCAGCAGAGATTGGCAATTCCAATGATTCTAATGAAGATTTTGAAACACAGTGGAGCACGTCCTGTATTACAAAGTGGAACAGAGTGCTTTTTGTTTGAGAGAAGAACTCAGGCTAAATGTGCAGGGTTTATGCGTGAATGAAACAAAACTCTAGGTAGGGCTGAAAGGTTTTAAGAAAAAAAAAAAACTGAATTGCGATCTTTCTGGCAGATTCGGTTTCATCCACGATTTTTTTCAAATCAAGTTTTAGTGCACATGAACATTTGCAAACATCATAGAAACTTACATTATACCACAATCCTGCACCGATGATTTGATGCTGGATCATTTGCACACATTTGTTTATGTTTTACAGAAACAAAACTTAAAACCACATGGCTAATTTGCATAAACTATAAGAGCTGAAAAAAACAGCTCGCTCCTTGTGCCGCTGATGCAGTCAGCTTCTGTCGGACAAAAGGACACGACTCAGTGGAATATGAGTGTTCTTTCTGTGACAGAGAATGTGCTAATGATGCAGGGTCTGTTCTGTGGTTCTATCGTGTTGGAGATCGTTGGAAATCTTTCATGAACACCAGGTTTAAATCCTAGCCTCCTTGTGCTGTGGTGGTGAATTACTTTGCTAGACCTCGACACAGACCCATAAATGAAAAACCATGGCAACAAGGCGACAGCGGCAGTGTGCGTTGAGTCAATGTAAAACTATACTTTTCCCATAAAATTGGGCTTTAGGAGCACTACAAAAAAACGCTGCTTTAATGCTTCCAAAATCGTGTTGTCTGAAATCGAGATTTTCAGTCAAAAATGATAGATCATTCAGCCCTAACTCCAAGTATTTATGTTTGATGAAAAAACAAAATTATAACATACAGTAGATCAGAAAATGTCATAATGTAAGCCCTTTAACTGTGATAATAGTCAAAGATCAGCTTGGGGCTCTTTAACTGACAGGTCTACAGCCAATTTTCTGTCAGTAAAAGCGTGTGTTTGTGTTAATAAATGCACCCCTACCCTACAAAACTACGCGATACAACGCCTTTAAAGTACTCAGTCATGTTTTAAGGTCTCTTCATTGTTCTGTGTTCTTTGGCTTGGTCCCAGCTCACCTGCAGCCTCTATTTCAGGTGTGTCCTACTTCTGTCTGTGCCCCGGACAAACTTACCCCTTTGTGACATTTAGTTTTGGCAAAAAGTTCAGGAAAAAGGTACAGGCGTTTAGTGCTAACTTTGTAATGTTATATTGTGTTGTGAAGCACTTTGGTCACCTTGAATGTTGTAAAGGGCTCTATACATAAAGTTTGATTGATTGATAATTACTGTAGAATAGGGCTGCACAATATATCATCTTAGTGTAAAAATGCACTGTGTAACTTTTCCAGTCCTTGTCTCCATGGAGATGTTATTGTTTTGTCTGGAATGTACCAGTTAAACGTATCCATCTTGCATTGTAACTTGGTGTCTTGCCTGTGGTGTCTCCTGCTGGCTCCATAGAGATAAATAAGAGTAATGCCTTACTGTGGAACATTCCTGCCAACCCTAACCTAAGCAAAGTGATAAACAGTGCAGAAGTGTAACCTGGACCAGAAAAGTTGCACAGAGGACCTTTAAATCCAGTTGAGAGAAAAGCACAGACTTTTTTTCCCTTGACAAATGCAAAAAGCACTTCCCACTGCACATTTTTCAAAAACAAAAAAGTCTGTATTTTCTAAAATAAGCCGAAGTACATCAGTCGGTGTCACCAAGTTTCTTTTAGTTCACTTTGCCTTTGGCTTCTTCCCAAACCAAAATGCTGCTCTGTGTTTGGTTCAGTCTCTGATTACCTTTGTAACTTCATCAGGATAAATCACCCAAAAACTTAAGAAATACATTTTTGGCAATATTGCCCACTTTTACTTAGGGATGCACCGATCTCATACCGGTGTCTTGAAAGCACTTGAAGGGCTCTATATAAATCCAATGATTCATAAAAAAATAATAAATATCTGCGTAGATACCAAAAATATTTATTGGATCAGATCTCAGCTTTCAAATATTTATTCAGCTGATATCCTGATTGGGCATATATTGATGTTAAAAACACGAATTCCTGGTCATAGTTGGCTCTGAAAATCTCAGAATGTTTTAAGTTTTTTATACAAAGTTGTTCTGTGGTTAAGTAATAGCTACATGACCACATTTGGATCAGTTTGTTCTTGCATTTTATCTTGGTTTGAAAGAAATTAATGCTATTTTCAGTCTCTGCACTCGTATCGGTTATTATCAGGGATTGGCAGATACTTTAAAGGTGAACAACTATGTAACTTCTTCTTTGCTATATTTGCTTGTTTCCATGGAGATATTATTTCTTAACCTGGAAGGTTCCACAGTAAGGCATTAAAAGTCTTTCCCTATTAATCTCCCTTTGTTCAATTACATTTTATATAGCTCAAAATACCTTAAAAAGATACATTCTTAGCATGTGCAGGCTTGCTTCTCCATAGATCTGACCATTAACCTGTCTCCATTGTGACTACAAAGTTTATTTCCATATTGTGGCATAATCAAAGCAAAACAGTAATCAAGCAGGTGGCAGACCCTGGATTGGTGCATCCGTAATTCCTTTTTAAAGGTGAATTGTGTAACTTTTCTCTGTGGAGATGTTATTATTTCGTTTGGAATGTTTCACAGTATGGTATTCACTCCCAATCTTTATGGAGACCAAACCAGACCAAGTTAAATGTCAGATCTGTGGAAAGGCGACCCTGCTCACAGTCAGAATGTTTTTCTAGGTGTTTTTGAGCTATAAAATCACCTGTAACTGAACAAATTTAAGGTTCTGCTGTTTAATGTCATACTGTGAAACATTCCAGCCAGAGCAAAGATATATCCATAAGAAACAAGCAGGTGATGGACCCCAACCAAAAAGTTACATAGTGCATCTTTAACAAAACTATTCTAAACCTTTTAAATACAGGATACATTATTGCTGTGAAACAGAACAGCAAATCCAAGTCTTTGAACTGAAGCCTATGAATGAACTTCAAACTCTGTGAGCCACTTCTCTTCTGGAGGAAACAGGTGAATAATCAGAGCTCTATAACATCACAGCGTTCAAAGAGGAGGAAAAAATGCCCAAACCAAAGCCTGCAACACGGAGGCAGGAAGCAGACACTTTGAACCTTTTACAAACAATATACCGACGCAGGATCAGGAACTTGAAAAGAAAAATAAATAAAAGGTACATTGTTTTGGGCTGGAAAAACTAATGTTCAGACAGCAACAGCATCTAGTTTGAGTGTTGGAAACTGTAAAATATTTAGACACATAAGCAATTAAAGGTCCTATATTATGCTAAATTGACTCTTGTGAGATTGAAGCCATGTTAGAATCTTGTTACGTACTCAAAAACATACCTGGAGTTGTGTTTTGTTTCATTCAATCAAATTTGAGCAATCCTGCATTATTAGTTTTTCTACATCTCCAAATTTTAAAATGCACTGTTCTACCTATAACATGTGAATGAAACAAAAACAAAACAACCCCAGATATGTTTTTGATGAGGAAACAACATTATAACATAGATCAGAAAATAGCGTAATAGACCCTTAAATATGAATTTTTGAAACACTTACCCAAAAGTTGTTCTGAAAGACGGCCATGTTTCCTCACGGACTCACTGCTCCCTGTAAAGACACAGCATCAGCGTTAGCCTTTAGTGACTCCAGCCCCGTGTTTCTGTAGCAATCTCAGTCTCAGGCTTTCTCTGCCCTCACTACAAACTCTGGGCCATTAGAGCCCCGTAACAGCTCCCAAACAAACCAGCTCCTGGAAAGTGCCTCTGTGTGGGAGAGGGAGTCCAGGGGGAGACGGCCTCAGAGGAGAGAGGAGGAGGAAGAAGAGAGGAGAAGAGCGTTGTCATCATACTAAAATTTCAAACTCAATTTCGATAATAAGAAATTGGCTTGATAATCGAAACTGATTTTGAAAGACTTAGATTAGACTTAGACTTAAACGAACTTTATTGATCCACGAGGGAAATTATTTGGACACAGTAGCTCACAAATCACAAAATATTATAATAACAAAGAGTAAAAAAAATATAAATGGTAATAATACATTTTTTAAAAAGTAGCAAACATAGCAAGAGACTGGTGTCAAATAAGGCCTAACAGTCAAAGATGATATAATATTTGACAGGACATGGGCTTATCTGTTACATAAGGGTGAGCAGAAAGATAATAAAAAAGATTTTTTTTACACTGTAGAATGTTATTTCAATACAAAATAACTGTAACACTTTATAATAACTACACCTTATTCAGCCTTAAGAAAGCATGAACAAAGGCTTAATTAATAATGAACAAAGACTTAATTAATAATGATTCACGCTTAGTAACTACTTAATTACTACCTTAATTAGCACTTGCACTTAATTTGCATGTATTGTAAATAGTTACTCATAATTATTTCATACTTAATTACTCACGGACTAACCATTTGAGCATTTATTAATCATTAGTAAACTATGAGAGAATGATTTACTAATAATGCAATGCAATGATAATTCAGGCAGCTGTTATCTGTTAGTTAAATATTTTTGAGAGCTTTTCTAAAGTGAAGACAAATTATGCTTTAATAACCATTTACCAAGCGTGAATCATTATTAATTAAATCTTTGTTCATTACTAATTAAGTCTTTGTTCATGCTTTATTAAGGCTAAGTAAGGTGTAGTTATTATAAAGTGTTACCAAAATAACAATTACCATGTGGTCTGAAACTACAGTAGTTAAGACAAAAAATTATTGTCCTGTTTGAGTAATATTTTTAGTATTGATTAGGGATGTAACAATATCCAAATCTCATGATACGATATTATCATGATATGCATCTCACTGTACAATATTTATTGCGATATTTTAAAGTGACTAATATAATTGTAGACAGGACACTTTTTTGCTTTTAAAATAACTTGACAAGATTTTGATGTGAATTATTACCTTCATAATCCCAGGAATTCAATTAAAATACGTATTTCTTCATGTTGTTTGCACGGAATCATGAGATATGTAGTTCCCTATGTTTATAAGATGTTGCTAGTATAAAACCAAGCATTTAAACAAAGAAACATGTGATTCAATATATTGTGACAGCCCATGATATTATTGTATCATGATATTTTGGTTATTGTTGCATCCCTAGTACTGATACGTGCACAAATGTGAATTTAGTTTTGTTATTTACTTGTTTAATTTATTTACTTTATTTTATTTACTTATTACTTGGTATTGATTAGTATCAGATTTGCGATACTTTTGACAACCCTAGATGAGGAAATGACAGAAGATGCAGAGGAAGAGGAAGGAGAGAGGAGTAAGAGAGGGGAGAGAGAAAGATGCAGAGGAGGGCCAGGGGAGTCCCAGAGGAGAAAATCAGTTTTAGGAAATAGGTCACCACAACTTTGATTGGTCCAGATAAGGTTGTGTGATATAATTTCAGTATAAAAATAGATGTATAACCTGTAAAAAAGAATAAACACAATTAACTAGAAATCATGTTATATAATGTTTGCTGATGAGAACCTGTTGTTTTTCCAGGCTAATGGACAGACATAAAAGTGATGCTACAGAAATGCACCATCACCAAACCATATTCAATAAGGTAGAAACTGAAATCTATACTTTTAACATTATGTGTTTTTAAATGCTCTTTGCCTCCTTACACCTGTGGCTTTCTGCTTTTCAATGCAAGACACTTTCCAATTTAAGCGTTAAAAGTTTTGATGTTTGTAATTGAAATCATAAGTGGTTTCCAAACATGCACCGCTGATACTGGTATTGGATTTTGGCGTCAATACTGAATTTGCTGGATCGGATATCGGCGTCATAATATTGGTTCAGTTGATATTCTGGTTGGAGACAAATTGGAGATAAATTGATGTAATAAGACTATTTACTAGTCCTATTTGCCCAGGGAATCTCATAATGTTTGAATTTTTATTTACACAAAGCTGTTCTTTGGTTGCTTGAGGGATAAATAACAGCTACAGAACACCTTTGAATCAGTCTTGTCTTATTTTATTTTATTTTTAAGAAAATAAATGCCATTTTCAGTCCCTGCCTTTGTGTCAGTTGACATCAGGTTTCGGTACTTAAAGCCAGAGGTGGGACCAAATCATTTTTTACAAGTCTCAAGTAAGTCTCAAATCTTTGACCTCAAGTCCGAGTCAAGTCCCAAGTCAAATGCAGGTAAGTCCAAGTCAAGTCTCGAGTCACTGGCCCACAAATTCAAAAGTCATCGTATATGGTTATTTATTTAAGAGCTGTAGAAATGCAAATTCTCGTCAAGATCATAGTGTGAATCATTACAGTCAGAACAGAAAGAATTAAGATTTAAAACTGTTACTGTGTATTACTATAGTACATTTGAGGATACCATGTCACAGTACTTCAGTTACATCCAAAGTAACAAACAGAGTGAGGGACATGTTCCAGTTTCTTTAAAATTAATCGCCGCATGTATATCAACTGTAAAGAGAAAAGTTTTTTCTAAAAACACACTGTTTTCTCAAGTCACAGGCCTAAAGTCGGAGTCAAATCCCAAGTCATTGACCTTCAAGTCCAGGTCGAGTCCTAAGTCTTTGTCCATTTTATCAAGTCAAGTCTCAAGTCCTAAAAATAGTGACTCAAGTCTGACTCAAGTTTAAGTGCCAACCTCTGTTTAAAGCTATATATTGTAATCAGTGCGTTCTAAATATTCAGTGTTATGGCAGTTTGGACATACAGTGTAGCTCTATCTGTACACTACACTGACCTTCTGTTGAGTTAGTAAAGTCTGTGTTTTGGTCAGACCCCTGACCAGACCCTCTCAGTTCCTCCAATCTAAGTGTTGTTTATTCACAGACGTTCTTATCAGTGCTTCTGTAGAGGAGATGTTTGGGGCTGTGGCAGACCTCCCTGTGTCTTGGCATCTGGCCCTGTAACCTTCACACATACGCTTGCACACACACATGTTGGGTTTCCGTGCTTTTAGGACACATTACATTGACTAACATGACAAACGTTTCCTGGAGACTGAGCCTAAACTCAACCATCATCAGTACCTAACTTTACCCGAAACCCAAATCTTTAACCTGTTTAAACCATATGTGAACTAAATCATGTTGTTGACTTAAAAGGCTGCACAACTTGGGGGAAAAATAACGAAAACAACATATCTAATTAAGATATTTTGGACAACTATTAATATTGCGATTAGATGTGATAAATATATAACAAAACATAATAATATATAAAAAGTAAGATTTTGTTAATAGTGCACATTGCAAACAACTCAAAGACCATTAACATTTGAGGGAAGACTGAAAAATGAAATGATAATACATACATATTCATATAGTCCTAAACTACAGGTACAACAAGATTTATAAAAAAAAACTGAATATTTAAAAAAATTATATATATACAAAATTAGAGCCTTTGCAATTTGAAACCTGTGCCAGGTGAAACTGCAATTGATAAAATTTAGATCTATATTTACTACTTAATTAACCTTAACCTATATCACATTTTTGTTGTTCTTTTGCATTGGAAACTACCTAGATGCATGAGCGATTACACCAACATCTTAACCCATATCAGAACTTTAAACCATCTTGTTGATCGAATAATAAAGCATTTACGTCACTGGAACCTGATTTTCATCCCTACAATGTGAGTGTGTATACAACATTTGAGTCCCCACATTGTGACATGTGTTCACACACACACGCACGCACGCATGCACACACACACACACACACACACGCACACACACACCTCTGAGGGCGTGTTAATTAGCTCTGCGGAGGAGAGAGAGAGGGAGCCACGGGACGCCCCCCAACACCCACTGACAGGAATCCTTTAGAACAGAACAGGGAGGTCCCACAGCAGAGACCAGGGGAGGGGCCAGAGGAGAAAAAGCTTTATAAATGTACACATCTCACGGGATAGGGAGATGGAGGCGAGCTTATAAATAATATTGGTGGCACTTTCACATTTTTTTAAAATTTAATTTTAATGTATTTGTTTATAAATTTTGGATTCATTATTTATTTATTTTTAATATACATTTTCATACATTCTGAAATATGATGTGATATTTCTATACATCACAGAATGAAAAATAATCAAATAATTAAAAGGTGCACTTCCTAACTGGTAGAGGGTCTGTCACATGTTCCACAGTATGCCCATAAACTTATGAATCTCCATGGAGACTAGCAGGTGGTGATACGTTTCAATCTGTAGACAGTAGGGCTGTAACAGTAACGAAAATATTGTGATATTGTATCATCAACGTTCTCACAATAATATCGTGGACCATCACAATATATCAAATTACAAGTCTCTTTGCTTAAATTAAGAGTTATGGTGCAGCAATTGCTAAAAAACAAAACAAAACAAAAAAAGACAGAGGGAACTACACAGACTATGATCCTTTGCTCCATTTCAGCATAGACTACATGAAGAAATAACAGTTCTAAGCATTTTTAAGTGGATTCAGCAGTGTTGTGTAGCTATTTTGGAACAAAAGAAAAAACAAGATCCACTAGGCTAAGTTATTGTATTTGGTATTGTGATCTGATTTACATGTACAGGGAAATCCGAGTGTGTTACCTAACCAAATTCAAATCAGGTTTGGTTCAGTGGTTTTGGTCAGACCACAGGAAATTCATATTTTCTTGGTTGTTTCTTACCTCGTGCAGCTGAAATTCTCTCCTTGTGTGTGCCTAATGTAAATCAGACTGTGCTGTTACATGTTTTGCTGGTGTGCATGTTAAAGTATGGAGTATGGTCCACCAGCTCAGCACTTTGTTAAGACCAAAAAGGGGCAGGCGGAAATGAGTGGATGTGTTTCTTTTATTTAGAAAAATTTAGATCAATATTCCTATTTCAAATGTCCAAAATATCAAAGAATGATTCATGGCTGTGATTCAGAGATGAGAACTAAACAGACAGAAGTATAATATGTCTTCTTCAAATAACTTTAATAGGTTGAATAGAAGTAGGTCAGTGTTCTCATGTAGTGGACCATACGAGTCTTTGGCCCAGAGCCCTGAGCTGTTCTGCCCCAGCAGCAGAGGCTCTTGCTCGGGCAGAGGAGGTGCAGAGCTCCCTGAGAGGAGGGGACAGGAACCAGAGGAAACCAGGACACACACTGACTGTCTGACCTTCATTTCAACCTGCTTCCATTCACACATTAAACAGCAAAACAAACTGAGTCATATGAAGAATAAATAATGCAACATTTAGAGTTATTTAAAAGATGTTCAAAAGGCATAATATTAAATCTGTAGACGATGCTTTGCCTCGAGCCATGAATATATGTACAGAGTATTATGGTGAAATAAATAACTCCAGCATGATCTCTCTATATTTTGAATACAGATTAATATCAGTCTAGTCCCAATGCCCTTTACTGCATCTAACCCTGCATTCGATTACATTTCCAACTCCCACTTGGACCTCGGAATTGACGTCATGTCCAAGCTTGAAGCATATTATTATGTTTCACATGTCAGACTACGTGACTTATGATTATGATTATTCCCTCATCTTATGAAAACGCTGTCACTTTTATTCATTTCATTTTTGAAATTTTGCACTTCATTTTATGTTATGATTTGTCTGCCATTACAACCTAAGGGATGTTAACGCCCATTAATTCAAGTATTTGTTCAATATTGGCCTCACCACAACACAGACTACCACATCCATAGGCAGAGATACAGACACGGTAAGGTACTGCATTAATACAAGTGACTGAAATTGTCATTTAAACCACCAAAGTGTCTAAACACAATGAAAAAAGTTCATATTTACATGTCACAGTGGGTGCAGCCATTTTGGATTCTGACTCGGAATCCTTGCTCAGTCTACTTTTTCCGCCCCTGAGATCTGAATCTGGCCGTCCCAGGAAAAGGGGCATGTCACGCATGTCGCCAGGCAACTTCCTTGGAAAACCAATTTGGAAGGGCAATCAAACGCAGGGTAAGGTCCAGTCAAACATGCTCGTCCAGTCAGATTCATTTATTTCAATGACCCATGTGACACGAATGAGCTCACTGGTCACTTAGAAAAAAGATCTAAATTTTCACACCTCAAATGAACATTTTAGCATTTTTCTCAGTAATTCTACTAAAATCTGCCATGTTTTTCAGTTGCCTGTGATACTTTTTTCTTTTATTTTTTCCCATTATGGACAGATGGCGGTCTCTGATTGGCTAATGCACCTGTCAATCACGCTCATCTGAAAATGTGGAGGTTCACAAGTGACCAAACTCACATTTTCGTGTAGTACTGAAGAAGTGCATGTTTTGAATCCCAGAAAAATTTATCGCAACAACTAATCAATCGAAAAAAGAAAAAAAATCATCAGTTGAAAAATTGTCATCAATAGTTACAGGCTGCAGCTCTTTTATATAGTGTGCACAATGTATTATTTCACAGAGGATATGATAAAATATATACAGGCAGGGTTTTGTTTTTAAATCTTGCAGTATATAAGAAGTTCAATATTTATTTTACCCTCAAATAAATACATTATTTTCCCATCTCTTCCTCCGTTGCGTCAGTATTACAGCCTGTCGTGCACAGTGTAATTCTGTTCACTCAGCCACTTTGTTTATAATAAATCATGTCTGATCATGTGTGAGACAACAAGTTTGACGAGAGAAAGAGAGAAAGCGGAGGGGAGAGAGAGGGGGAGAAAGGGAGAGGGAAGGAGGGAGAGAGAGAGAAAAGGAAAAATAGAGAGAGAAAGAGAGACAAGAAAGAAATAGAGACAAAGAGAGAGATACAGAGACAGAAAAAGAGAGAGAGACTGAGTGAGACAGACAGAGAAAGAGAGTGAGACAGAGAGGGAGGGAGGGAGAGAGAGAGAGACAAAAGAAAGAGAAAGGGACAAGCTGGGACCTGAGGGACACAGGCACTGCAACAATACAAAAATCTAACACTATATTCTGCAGGTGAACTGAGTCGAAGTGGAAAATAGATAGAAAAATGGATTCAAAGATTTAAGATTTCTGCACACGTAAAAGCAAGATACCATTTTACAGAACCCCTCAAAGTCAGTATAAAAGTGATTGATCTTAATATCGCCATTGAAAGATGTGGAAAATCAGAACATAAAGTATTTAGAAAGGCTGCAAACAGAGTTGGTTAAAAATAACTTTTTTGTGCAATATTGAACTTCATCCAAAGACATTCACAGATACGTTTTAGCACTCTCCTCATGGACGGTTATAATATTGTCTGGAAATGAATATGAATAAACACTGAGATAGGCTACGTTTATATGATGATGGTCTGAACAGAAGACGCAAAAGTGGCGTCATGTCTTCACTTTTTATTCCACGTTTGAATGAGTGTTTCCGGGAGAAAATGTGTGTACATACAGTGACGCAAAAGTGCATGGACTTCAATTGGGTATGCATGCCAGGTGGGGAAAAAAAAGATGTCCCACCATCGACTGATTCTCCCAGGTCTTGTCCATATCAGTCTGGCTCGCCTGCGACTAACTGGTGCATCCAGAATTTGACAGAGGTGATTGCAGATCCTTCTCTGTTCACCAATAGTATCTCTGCATATTCTGTACATTTGTTGGGATGCCTCCTGTAAGTTTAGTAGAGCTTGAAGGTCCGACGCATAGAAATGATCTGATATGTTTCTGTGTTCTGTAGGTATGTGACGTAAACGTGTACGCGACCTGAGCACATCTGACCAGAATTTTTGAGCAGTGTAGACAGAAATGCTACAAAGGAGTGTATAAAATTTTTCCACTCTGGAGGGTGGTTTAAAATTTTTGCATTGTTAAGCCCCAAAATCGCCATTACCGTCTAAATGAAAGGCACTTCCGATAAAAAATGTAGTCATTTCTACCCGCAAGTGTTCTGGTCTAAACAGGTCCATAGTCATATTTTGTTAAAAGTGAACTATGTAACTTTTCTCGTGGTGGAAGGGACCGGTTTGTCTCTGGAAATGAGATTGCTTTGCCTTGAATGTTACACAGTATGACAATAATCAATATCTGTCTTGCAAAAATTTAATTACAGGTGTATATTGCTAAAAAATACCTCAGAAAACATACATTCTTTCTGTGGGCAGGTTCCCCACAGACCTGACCTGCATCGTGGTTTGGTTGAATTCACCTGCTTGATACCATGGAGATAAATCATTCGGAGAAACACTCATTCAGTCTCAGTGGAAAAAAACAGATGACAGATCTTACATGAGAAAAGTTACATAGTGGAGCTTTAATAGCCGTGAGATATCGTCACAAAGCAGCAGCAGTGTTATCAATCGCCCAGTGCACTAACCTCTGTGTTCCTCCTCTTCTGGCTGACGACTCACAGATGGTGCTCATGAAATATTGGGACCTGCAAAACACAATGAAGCGCAGTGAGACAAAAGTGCCCAGAATAAATGGTGCGTCCTCTCCACTCCCCCCTCGGCCGCCATCTTGGTTTGCTTCGGTTCAGTGTTTGTGAGAGAAGGTCAAAAAGAGATCACAACATCTGCTCCTTTACAAATGAGAATAACTAAACCATATTGTGCAGTTAACTGGAACAATACAATCAGTGGTTTATTTAAGGGGTTGTCTCAATGTTGGCAATGCTGATTTATATGATTTGGCTTAATATAGTAAAATCCTCAATACTGGTTAATACATGTTCCAGAGTATGGCATTAAACTTATCTATATTGTATTTTTCGGACTACAACTGGCACTTTTTTCATGGTTTGGGTGGTCCTGTGACTTATACTTCAGTGTGACTTATATATAAAAAATTTCACACTGACAGCCGTGAGAGGCTCTAGGCTTGTGTGTCAGTATCTGCTACTACTGTACCGCTGTCACTTCACGCCCTACTGCGCATGTCTCCTGCATGTGTCCTGCTGCAAGTAGTGAAATATGCAACCGAAAACGGTAAATCGAGGAGCAGAAAGAAAGTTTAAAGTGAGAGAGAAACTTGTGAGGGACTGAGTGAAAGCGGGGATGGAGAACACAGCTTCACGGTAACGGGGAGGGTGCGCCATGCAACTTTCCTGGAAGTCATTGGATGGATCGACAAAGCCTGGACTTCAGTGACAACCAAAACCATCCTGTAGGGATTCTGAAAGGCCGGAATAATTCTATCTCGAACTGATGCCAAGTCTGACGAGGAAGCAGTGCTCCGTTTACCTCATGGATCTATGATTTACCTCCGGAGTTCGTGACGTTGCTCAGAAGTGACAGAGGATGAAGAATTGAATGGATTTAGTGATTTAGAGTGAGAATTTGGTAAACTTGTTCTGTTGTTTATGCTATAGTTATCTGAAGAACTGTACGAACTGTAGAATATGTGACATTAACAATCTGTTGCTCTTTATTCTTTTATTACTATAACTTGCCTTTCAAGATGACATGTCGGTTCCTGGTCTCTGATCTTCTAAAATAAATTTCCCCCAAAAAGTGCGACTTTTACATGTTTTTTTCTTCTTCATTATGCAATTTTTGGCTGGTGAGACTTCTAGTCCAGAGTGACTTAGACTTAGACATAATCCAAAAAAAACGGTACATGTTTTATTGCTCAAACATACCTTGAAACATTCATTCTTACTGTGAGCAGGGTTGCTTCTTCATAGATCTGACCTGGATAACTAAAATCCATGGAGACTGCAGTGTAGCTTATCTCCACCAAAAAAGTTATATAGTGGATTTTTAGCATTAATCCCAAGTGGCCTAGTCCATCTCTAATGAACAATAGTTTAGTTAATTTAGATAAACAGTATAATTATTTGCTATTATCCTAAATTTGCATATAAAACATAACAGTATTGTTGCGACATATTAAATAACACACACATGTGCAATTGTACAAAATGCAAGACAGTTCATTCCACCTCCAACTACCACTTTCAATAATTGTTATGATTCTCTGAAGATAGTCCCTTTACCCTTAACTGAAGTTTGTCGTCATTGGCTGTGGTGAGTAAACAGCAGAAATGGGTTAAATGTAATGATACAGCGGGCCACATTAATCAGAGAAAGTGGAACAAAAGACCTGAGCTGGAGAAACAGGAGAGAGGAGAGGAGGAGGTGAGACCCAAAGCAGAGCCAAATCAGCAAAACCGCAGAGGAGTAGAGATAATAACATGAGCTCTTATTGGAGAGAGGAGTAAACATGAGACCAGAGAGCAGAATATATTCATTTACAAGTTTGATATCGAAAAGGCATTGGAGTTGGCGCAGGTAGTGGTCAAAAACTAGAAAGTAATTTCAGGAAGTAGCTACTGAAAATTACTTATCAGTTGTAACACTTGTAATATTAGAATTCCTCAACACAAAATAATATATTTGGCATTAACGTGGTATTATTCTTGGAAAGCACAAGATCTAAAACTGTTCAGGAAAGGTTATATTTTGTCCTTCTCACATGACTTTTTTTGATTGATGCCTGTTCAAATGAGCATTTAGTTTCAGTACTAGTTCTAGAACCGATTCAGATTTTTTGATACGTTTGACAACTCTAAAATGATTAAATTAAAATGACAAAAATTTGACCTTAGTTTAGAATATAGAAGTAATATAGCAGTAGAATGGTCTCAGAGAAGTAGAAAACCACATGGTAATATAAAATCTTTATATTTGCATCATTTATCGTTTATCTGACCTAAACTGTAGTACATTTCTGCACCGTGAGCCTATGGTTTTTTAATAAACTACAATATATGAATTCAGCATAGCCATCTCCTTAGGATCACAATAAAATAATTACTTGACAAATCCAAATTTTGGTTAATCAAATGCCTACAACCCTAATTGAATACAATATTTCAGTGGGTATCAAATAACAAGCTTCCCTTAGTATGGAAATGTAGTTCAATTTTAGCATCATAACAACAGTAATCGAAAGGCATTAACATTCAGGGACAAGACCAAGTGTTAGCTCCAGCAGTGAATGATCGAAAGTACTGTACATCTACTCCACACTTTAACTCTCCCACTCTCCATAATTTACAATGAGTCACCGACGATGCTATTATTTAAATCCAACTTCAGAGAGTGTAGCAGCCGCACAGGGTCAGACCTACACTTACAATGTGGTTCATTTAAGAAACATCAGCTCATTTTTGTTTATCATCTGAATCTGCACAAAAATGGAATCTGGATCTTTTAAAAGGTGCACTGTGTAACTTTGCTGAACTGTTTGTCTTCATGGATATTTCATTGCTTTGTCACGAATGTTCCACAGTATGCCATTAAACTTCTTGCAGTTATTCAATTGCATGTTGATGTTTTTGTTGCGGGGTCACGTTCCACAGATCCGAACTGCAGCTTGGCCGAGTGGTGTCACCTGTTTGTCTTCATGGAGATAGAGAATTGAAATGCCATACCATGGAACATTACAAGTAACGCAATATTGTCGCCTCATGCAGTTTGCCGACTCACTTCCTATTAGGGATGTAACAATAACCGAAATATCGTGATCTTGTATCTTCAAAAGTCTCACAATAATATAATTTGATATATTATGACAGCCCATTATAAGTTCATTTGCTTAAATGCATTATTTTATAGTAACAACAGCTTCTAAACACAGCAAACTACATATCCCATAATTCATTTCAGTGCAGACAACAAGAAGAGGTGTTTTTTACTTAAATTCTTGGGATTATGATGGAAATAATTCACACCAAAATCTTGTCAAGGTATTTTAAAAGCAAAAAAGTGTCTTATCTACAGTTATATCAGCCTCTCCAAAATAACGCAATAAATATCGTACCGTGAGATACATATTATGATAATGCGTTTTGTGATACTGCCTATATTTCATCTTTAAACAGCCCGTATTACATTTCCTGATCTATGTTATAATGTTGTTTCTTCATCACAAACATACCTGGAGTTGTGTTTTGTTTCATTCACACACAAATCCTGAATATTTTGACACTCTGTACCACCTTGTGATGTCATGTGGCGATACAAGAAGGGCTCAACAAGAAGTGTTTTTAAACTCCATGCACCTAAATAATTTGGATGATTTCAGTCCTGGCATCGTCCACCTCTACTGAACTAAATGTAAAAGGTCGCAGTTAACTTTAAAACTACCACTTTGTGACATCACAAGGTGGAACAGAGCATTTTGAGTTTTGGAGATGTAGACAGACTAATAATAAAGGGTTTCTCAAAGATGTGTGAATGAAACACAACACAAATGGGTATGTGTTTTGCTTAAAGCGTCAAAGAGTCAATTTTGTGTAATATAAGACCTTTAAGCATTCCTTCATCCAGTGTAGTCTCTTTTACGATTTCATAAAAATACAAAGAGCATTGTGCTAATATATAAATAGCTGTGGTCAGACCCATGATCTAAACTCCAGCGCTGAAGTCTGGGCCACATGAGGATACAGTTGGAGCAGGAGGATGGGTGAGCTGGTGACTCTGCACACTGCACATCTAATGCTCTGTCCTTCTCCATTACCTTTAAATGTGTTTTGGCCGAGCGTGGAGGAGCAGAGATCATTTTGTGTCAAGGCTGATTTCTCTGCCACTGTCTCCTGGGTTCACCTGCCATGGCCGACCAGCGGGGTGGCTCACTGGCTGAGCTTTTTCTGATAAATAATTGTATTTGCAATATGTGGTTTAAAGTAGGATTCTGTTCAGAGTGTAAATTTTAAACCACTCCAGGAGCATTAAAGCATAAAACTTTTCTGGTGGAGGGTCCGCTACGTACGTGTCTCCACGAAGATGTTATTATGACTCAAGACAAGCTTTACTGATCCACAAGGGAAAGGCTCATACATCAAAATATACACAATAGCATATGAAAACAATGAACATGTAAAAAATCTGTTCATTCATTCATTTGTTTTTCAAAATAAAACCAAAAATAAGAAAACAACTATTTTCTTTATTTGTCTCCAAAACCAAAGTGAAAAAACAGATTACGATTAATTTTTTTCAGTTTTTTCAGACCAGGACTGAGACAGGGACCAGACCAGGACTGAGACAGGGACCAGACCAGGACTGAGACCGGGACCAGACCAGGACTGAGACCGGGACCAGACCAGGACTCAGACCGGGACCAGACCAGGACTCAGACCGGGACCAGACCAGGACTCAGACCGGGACCAGACCAGGACTCAGACTGGTTTAGTCCTGGTTCTGTCCTGGTTCTGTCCTAGTTCCGTCCGTATGCGTCGCAAAAGTCCAGTATCGCAGTTTAAGTCACAGAAATGGGAAACGGCCATTATCCATTTTTTCCCATTATTCATTTAAACACAAAATCGAAAACTAAAAATGATAATGTTTGCACTATGGAGCTTTTCTGTTTTTTCATTTTGGTTTTGGGGACAAATAATGAAGAAAATAGTTGTTTTTTCATTTTCTTATA